GGTGGCCCCTGCGCTCCCCTGTGGTGGGGTGTGGGGACCCGGGGGTAGCTGCTGTGCTCCCCTGTAATGGGTGTGGGGACCTGGGGTGGCCCCTGTGCTCCCCCATGGTGGGGTGGCCCTGGCGCTTCCCTGTGGTGGGATGTGGGGACCCAGGGGTAGCTCCTGTGCTCCCCCAAGGTGGGTGTGGGGACTCGGGGGTGGCCCCTGTGCTCCCCTGGGGTGGGACTGTGGGGACCTGCAGGCGTCTCTGCAGCCTTCACTTGGACTTTTCTGTGACTCCCAATGGGGACTGTCCCTGAGGCAGCTGCCCAGCCTGGGTGAGGGGCCGGGCAGCCAGCAGACGTTGTATAGACCCCAGAAGGCCGGGGACGGCTGCTCTGCACGTCTGTACCTCTGCTTTTGCCTTCATGTATGGGTCCAGTTTCTCATTTCTTCCATTTCTCAGTGTGATCTTAGAAGTAGAGATGAAGAGATTTCATGAAAAATATTTGTTTAGTCGCTGATCAGTAGTTGTGGAGCATCAGTCCTCCAGCCCTCCGACATCGTGGGTTTGTGTGCTGGTGCCTTCATGTGGTTCAGAATTGAAAGTGAGACCTCACTCGCTCCGTTCTGTGGCATCTAGTTTGTTTCCCAGGTCCTCATATCTTTTTTTTTTTTTTGAGACCAAGTCTCGCTCTGTCACCCAGGCTGCAGTGCAGTGGTGTGATCTTGGCTCACTGCAACCCCCACCTGGTGGGTTCAAACAATTCTACTGCCTCAGCCTCCCGAGTAGCTGGGATTACAAGCATGCACCACCACACCCAGCTAATTGTTATATTTTTAGTAGAGACAGGGTTTCACCATGTTGGCCCAACTGGTCTTGAACTCCTGACCTCAAGTGATCCACCTGCCTCAGCCTCCCAAAGTGCTGGGATTACAGGCATGAGCCACCATACCCGGCCCTCATACTTTTTAAATAATTCATTTTTCTTCAAGATAACTAAGAAGGAACATTGTCCCTTTTACAAGTGGTCTTACTCTGGCCTTGGCCTACTTTTTGCATTCTTGTTGAAGTTTCATAAAAGGGGATAGTGACTGGCAGTCATGCTCTGTGCACAGGCATCCCTATTGAATGGTGTTTGGACACGATGCCTTCTTGAACTCATGTTATTTGTACAGTATGTATTCCTGTTTCTTAAAAATGGGCACCTACTGGTTAGGTCCATACAACTCACTGACATCAGGCAGACAAATCCTTTGTGTGGCTACAAGGGAGCAGCGTGGAATTGTGATGATTTGTCTGTGCTTATTTCTGAGAGAGACAACGATGTTCTTGTTCGTGGTTCCACATTTTCCTGAGGGAGTTAATACATTTTTAAAAAGTAATTTTAATCACCGTAATCCCAGTTTTGCTCAAATTACAGTCTTAAATCTGAATGGTAATGATTTACAAAGAAGATTCTTTTCTGTAACAGCAGAAGTCTGTCTCTGCTCTCTGTGGTGGTGCCGGAGACAGCAGGGTGTTACTGCCATTGACTGGGAAAGAACATCCAGTCTCAAACCTGTGAAGAAATATTCTTAGATTTCCTTTTAGTCAGTTTCACAGATCGTTGTATTTCGATTTCATCACATCATCACGAAACAGGAAGTCACTGTCTATATTTTGGCAATATAACTTCTTAGGAGTGTTCTCCCCTCACCTAAAAAGGCAGTGATTCACACACACACACACGCATGCACGCGTGCACACACACACACAGTGTTTGCCTGATCAGAGGTGAAGTTACTTTATCAACACACTAGAGCCTGTGCCCAGACCTGCCTGTGAGCTTTGGCATTCGTGTTTCTGACCAGAAGCTGGGAAGGGGCAGCGATAGCTGGTGAAGACTTGGGTGGGGCTTGGTGAGGGCACGGTGCCTCAGTGACTTTTTCTCTGCAGATGAGGCCTTTCCAGGCCAGTAGCTCTTGAACAGATCAGCACCCCGTGGCATGGAGCAGGCTCCGGCACTGGGCAGGCATGGGCCTGTACTCAGTACGCAAGTCTTTCAGCCTGAAATAGAAGCAGCCGGTCCTTTCGTCTAATCAGAGTTAGGGGAAACTTCTGTCACATCTTTACAAACGCCCTTCAGTAACAGGATGGTAGTGACACCAGTGCCCATGAAGAGGGCGGCTGCAGCCTCACGTACAGCAGCTAGACCCACAGACCTGACCGATGCTCTCAATTTGTTCTCCAGCGAGGGCTCTAGGATGAAATCCTCTTTTGTGAGTCATGTGAAAGATGAACTGTGTGGCACTGAGTTCTGCATTCAAAATGAAAAGAATAGAATGTTCTAACATCTGTTACTTTGCTGTTTTGCTTATTCTCGTGGAACTTAAGAACAAAGTGAAAAAACCTATTGGTTAGTTGTTTTCAAATAAAATGTATTCTTCACTGATTTGTCCTTGTGAAAGGGCGCCTGTTCCTAATGCAGGTGCACTGGCCATGTGCACTCCAGGGTCCCAGCAGCTCTCGCTGCCTGGACACCTGCCCTGGTGGGCATTTACTAAGGGCCTGTTGATCTGGAAGGAAAAACAGACCCAACCCAAAGGGGATTAAGGTCTGGGGAATACATTTGTGGGTCGTTCTTTCCTGAAACAATTTTTCACTCCTTTTGCTTCTTTTCAGGGTATCGTGCAGCAGTTTTTGGTGTTACTGACGACCAGCTCTGATGAAAGTCTTCGGTTTCTTAGCTTCAGGCTGGACTTCAATGAGCATTACAAAGCCAGGGAGCCCAGGCTCCGCGTGTCTCTGGGTACCAGGGGGCGGCGCAGCTCCCACACGTGAAGCTCGCGGTCCTCGCAGGGAGCTGCAGATGATGTTCGTTGCACCGCTAGACACGAAATTCCCATCGACGTCCTCCAGGACCTGCACGCTGCGGGTGTCCTGCCCTTCTGCCCACGAGTGTGCCATGTTTCAGCGGAGCGGCGTGCGGGAGAAGCCACGCGTGTTTCTCACGTCGGAGCCGAATGCATTTGTAAATCACTAAGTCAAGTAGGCTGGCTGCCCTGTTCACATTTGTCTCAAAAGTCTTCATCGCTAAAAGATACCATAATTTGCTGAGGCTTCTTAAGCTTTCTATGTTATACTTTATATTTGTCACTTTAAAAAATCCATTTCTTTTAGAAAAAATTAGGGTGATAGCATATTCATTAGTTAAGATGGTAACGTCATTACTATTTTTTTAACATCCTCTTTAGAGGTAATTTTTGTTAACATAACCAAAAATTAAATTGAAACAAAATGTCCCAACTAAGAACATATATAGAGCATTTTATTTTTTTTGAGTGTTGTAAAATATTAGCCTCTGTGAGATCCTTTGTATCTTAATGCATTACCTTTACACATATTTATTCTTATTTTCTCTCCTTCCAGAGTTTACATTTTTATATTTAATTTACTATTTCAGATTTTTAAAATAGTATAGAAAAAAGTAGGAGTGATAGAGAACAAAAATACTGTTACACAGTGCAACCCAAATACCGTGAATGCGTCAGCTAAAGCAGCGTGTACATAGGAATGATGAGAAAAAGTTAATGGAGTATTTTATTTTCAAAGTCCCTGATAAGCATTGGAAAGAAATCGACATGGATAATGAAGATTTCCTTTTTCCTTGCCTATTTTTTCATTGTAAATATTTATATACTACTGACCAAGATGTTGGGGTGGGGGGGATTGTTTTTTGTAAAAATGTCATTATCAGGTCACATAAATCTGCCTTTATGTTGCATAAGTGAAAATTTAGAAAATTAAAAGCAATTATCTTTCAGATGCATTCGTTATTTCTTGAATAGTTAAGGAAGGGACAGTTTACTTGCTGGATTTGAGGGTTGATAGGATTTGATTTAATATACTACAGCATATGAATTATTTAATAAACGAAACCAGGAAATTAGACTTTGCATGACTTTCGGTGTAGAAGCGAAGGCAGTGCCACCACTCAGGCCTCAGGAGCTTCACACCTCTGACTCCTTTAGGTATGAATTCCATTTAAAACTGAAGGGGCTGTCAGGAATCTTGGCCATGCAGAAACGAATCCATGGCGAAGGCCGGAAATTCAATGTTATTTTAAACGTCATAAAATCAGAAATTTGAAACAGGTTTTTCTACTGCAAGGTTTTCCAGAAAGTATGGCGTATTGTGTATCTCCGAGAAAGATGTGCCCAGGTTATTGACCATGCAGCCAGATTTTATTCTATTTTATTTTATTTTAATTTAATTTAATTTTATTTTATTTTATTTCAGAGAGTTGTTCCAGGGATTAATCCTCGGTAAAAAGCACCCTAGCAAAGCCCGCCCTCGATTTTAGGGATTACGACTCCATTGGAGTGTAGCAGTCACCAGGATTTAGGTCAGATTTGTGGACTATGGAGGGCTTCTGGGGGGTGTGGCCCTGGGGGGTGCCTGCGGGTCTGAGGGTGGGAGCTGGGATGAGGTGAGACCTCTGAGGAGCTGTGTGGGACCCACTCCCCGTCATTGTGGATGCACAGCTGGGCTAGTTAGGGAGCCGGGGTCCCAAAACCCAGCATCAGGCAAGCATGGATGACTTGGGGGCTCCACACTGGGCTTGTGCGAAAAGGAGAACCCACGGTGTGGGCGACCGCACCAAGCTCTGGGAGGGTCGCGTCTTTATCCAGAAAATGCTAACTGTTCTTACGTGTCATGCTTATTGTAAAGATTAGTGATGCTGTATCCTTAGGGTCCTGGGCAGCTCAAGCAGGCCACCTGGCTCCGTCCACGAGGACACCTCTCGCCCACCAGGAAGTTCAGTGACTGTGGCCGAAGACACAGATACCCTTGGTTAGAAGGGTTGGCAGCCCTCATATCTTGCTGCGTGGGTAGGCTCGACTGGAGAGGGGAATATTCTTGCCTTTCTTGCCTGGTTGTCAACTGCAGTGTTCATGGCATCATGATTCTCAAGTACCTCTGGAAAAATGTGCCTCCAGACATTAAAATGTAGTACAGAAGGACACAGCTTTGTTGAAGGAAAAGAGTACTTTTACCAAATAGCCATAGGCATACTTGAATCTTGTTAACGTGGCCTGTGTGGAAGAGATGTGTGGTGCAGCTGAGGCATATGTAAGGGGCAGCCTTCATCCACAAACGATGCGTGTGTTCTGAGCGCCCCACTGCGTGGCCATTCCCCAGCCTCTCTGCCTCTTCTCAGCCCTCTCTATTCCTAGACACAGCAATATTGAAATTAGGCCAGTTAACCCTACGGTGGCCTCTAAGTGTTCAAGTAAAAGGTAGAGTCACACGTATCCCACTCTAAGTCAAAAGCTAGAAATGACTAAGCTCAGCGAGGAAGGCGTGTTGAAAGCCAACATAGGTTGAAAGGCCTCTTCTGCCAAACAGTTGGTCATGTGAATGCGAAGGAGAAGTTCTTGAAGGAAATGAAAAGTGATATTCCAGTGAACATAGAAAGACAGGAAAGCAAAACAGTCTTATTACTGATACGGAGAAAGTCGTAGTGGTCTGGCTAGGAGATCAAACCAGCACAACATTCACTTAAGCGAAAGCCTAATCCAGAGCAAGGCCCTCACTTCAATTCGGTGAAGGCTGAGAGAGGTGAGGAAGCCGCAGAAGAAAAGCTGGAGGCTAGCAGAGGTGGATGGATGAGGTTGAAGGAAAGAAGCTGTCTCCATAACACAACTGCAAGGTGAAGCAGCAGGAGCTGATGGAGAAGCTGCAGCAAGTCGTCCAGAAGACCTAGCTGAGCTAATTGATGAACGTGGCCAGACTGACACGTTTTCATTGTAGACGAAAGGGTCTTCTGTGGGAAGAAGATGCCATCTAGGACTTTCATAGCTAGAGAGAAGTCAGTGTCTTACCTTCAGTGGAGAGGCTGCTTGTCTTGCTAGGGGCCAGTTAATGCAGCTGGTGATGCTCAGTTAAGGCCATGCTCACTGGCCCTTCTGGAAATCCTAGGGCGCTGAAGAGGGATGCTGAATCTCTGCCTGTGCTCTCTAAATGGAACAACAAAGCCTGGATGACAACACATCTATTTACAGCCAGCCTGGTTTACTGAATATTTTAACCACACCCCCGCCCCGAGATCGATTGCTCAGAAAAAAAGGTTATTTTCAAAATGTTACTGCTCATTGACGGTGTACCTGGTTGCCCACGAGCTCTGCTGGAGATGTACAAGGAGGTGCATGTTGTTTTCCTGCCTGCTAACACAACATCCGTTCCACAGGATCAAGGAGTAATTTCAACTTTCAAGTGTTATGATTTAGGAAATACAGTTGGTAAGGCTATAGCTGCCATAAATAGTGCTTCCTCTGAAGGATCTTGGAAAAGTAAACTGAAAACCTTCTGGAAAGGATTCACCATTCTAGATGCCATCATGAACACGATTCATGGGAGGTGGTAAAAATGTCAGCATAAATAGGAGTTTGGAAGAAGATGATTCTAATCCTCATGGATGACTTCGAGGGTCGAGACATCAGTGGAGGAAGGAACTGCAGATATCGTGGGACTAGTAAGAGAAGGAGAATTAGAAGCGGAGCCTGAAGATGTGACTGAACTACTGCAATCTTACGATGCAACTTAAATGGATGAGGAGTTGCTCATTCATGTAGCCATCTAGTTGCAACGTTCATCTGTCCATCATCTTTGCTTATGGATGAGCAAAGAAAGTGGTTTCTTGAGATGGAATCCACTCACGGTGAAGATGCTGTGAACGTTGCTGAAATGACAACAAAGGATTTAGAATATTCCATAAACGCAGTTGGTAAAGCAGTGGCAGGGTTTGAGAGGATTGTCTCCAATGTTGAAAGAAGTTCAGTGTGGGTAAAATGCTATCCAACAGTATCACATGCTACAGAGAAATCTTTTGTAAAAAGAAGAGTGGATTGATGTGGCAAACTTCATTGTTGTCTTTTTTTAAAGATTGCCACTGCCACTCTTAACCTTCAGCAACCACCACCCTGATCAGCCAGGAGGTATCTGCATCTAGGCAAGACCTTCCACCAGCAAAAAGATGACAACTTGCTGAAGGCTCAGATGCTCAGTAGCATACTTTAGCAATAAAGTATTGTTTATGCACGTTGGTTTTTTAGGCATTGTCTGTTGCACACTTAATAGACTATAGTGTAAATATAACTTTTGGATGCACTTGGAAACCCAAAAATTCGTGTGACTCATTTTATTGTGACACTTTCTTTCTTGTGGTCTGCAGCCAGACCCATGATACCTCTGAGGTCTGCCATATTCTTTGGTGTGGAAATAATGATCAAAAGAATGCAATTCAGTGTGTAAATGGTAGGTGGGGCCAGGTTCTTTCTGTATTTGGTGAACCTGGACTGGACTGTGCAAGGGTTTGTTGGAATGTGACTTGGTGGAAAGAAAGGAAGAATGGCGGGTCAGATGAGCTCATGATGTGATTCTTAAAATTTTGCCAATTGTCAGAAAAATCACTGTCTTGGACAAGTGTTTGTACTAATGACTTGTAGTTTTAGCAGCATATGAACTGGTCGGCATCTTTGGTGGGCAGGTTATAAAGAATGTTTCCACTTTCTACTATGGTTACCGCACCATTCAGATATCCTGATTCTGAGGTAATGTATGCATTTCCATTTAGGTTTTCAAATTTGTTGGCATTCATTTTTACATAGGTTCCTTGATAATTTTTCAAATATTCATTTTTGAGTTATATTCCTTAATATTTTCTATTCATGGCTCTCTTTTCCCTTGCTGGTCACATTTACCAAATTTTGTTTATGTCTTTCAAGAATTATCTTTTTTTGGGGGTGGGTGTTACTTATTTTACTATAGATACATTTTTTTTTCTTTTGCTTTATTCATAAATTACTTTTTTTTTTTTTTTCCCTGAGACGGTGTTTGGCTCTTGTTGCCCAGGCTGGAGTGCAGTAGCGTGATCTCGGCTCACTGCAACCTCTACCTTCCCGGTTTAAGTGTTTCTTCTGCCTCAGACTCCCAAGTAGCTGGGACTACAGGTACGTGTCACCACGCCTGGCTAATTTTTGCATTTTTGGTAGAGATGGGGTTTCACCATACTGGCCAGACTAGTCTCGAACTCCTGACCTCAGGTGATCCGCTCGCCTTGGCCTCCCCGGGTTACAGGTGTGAGCCACTGTGCCTGGCCATAAATTACTATTTTATATTTAATATCTTCTTTTGGTTTAATGTTTCATGAATTGAATATGTATAGAATTTGTTGTGTCATTGTTTAATAAGCATTTCCAACTGTAAGTTATCCTCTGCATGTAACTGTAGTTACTATCACAGGTTTTTACATATATAGTTTATTTTCAATGTTATTAATACCTAACTAGTATGTAATTTCTGTTAATTTTCTTAATTCTGGATGTAGTTAACATTTCAAAATTTCCAGGAAGTTTGGTTTTTTTTCCTTCAATTTTTTTCTTTTGGAAAAAGAAAAAGGAAAATTTGCCAAACATGTATCAAAATATATTACAAAGCTATAGTGTATATACAGTGTGGTATAGGAACAGAAAGAAACGTCCATGGAGTGGAATAAAGTGACTAAAATTGCCAGTGTTCACAGGTCTTTAGTAGGTTCACTACAGAAATACGTCAAGTGTCTGATTATTCAACAAATGCTTTGGGGTAAATTGTTTCAGGCACAAACCATTTGGAGAAAATTTAAATTAAAGACTTTAGCTCAGAAGAAAAATTCAGTTAGATTAAATTCAGGTAGGATAAAT